GAAATCATTAAGGTGATTGTGAAAACACCGCTTGGAAAGCTTGAAAATGCTTCCTGGATATGCAGATGATTTTTGGAAGAACCTTCTCAATGAGCCTGCAGTGGTTTGGATAGCTTCTTGAAGTGGTACGCTGTGAATGTTTGCGTGGTGTTCCCTGGTGGTGAGCTGTACCATTATCATGTAACTGCTGGTTTTCCTGTGCAATCTTCTTTGTGGTGAACAAACACAACCAACCAGAAACAGACCCATTCACTGAAGGAAGGGCTTCATGGAATTCGTTTCTTTAACTTTCACTTAGGAATGCTGAAAGACTTAACATTGTATGCAAGGACTTGGTAGAATATTTGAGGGGAAATACAACTTTCTGGTAGTGTGAGCTGCAGCATTCCTCCCCTCTGGCTCCTGGTTTCCAGGGTTAGGGAGGGCACAGCATGTGGAGAAGGTGCCTGTGCAGCCTGATGGCCAGTTAGCACAGGGCTGAGGGTGAGCTTTCCTCCACAGCACGCTGTGATGAACACTTGGGCAGATGGAACAAGATAAACTCCACCAAAATCTAAGAGAAGAAAGATGGTCATCACTTGTCCCAGCCTCTCAATGAGAGTCTGAGCTCAAGCTTATGAGGATTCCTTAATACTGGGTGGTAATGGATCATCTTTCTTTTCCTGACAGGGAATGCTTTAAACAACAATAAATCCTAAACTTTATTAACATAAAATACAAGTGAATGACTTGCCTCTAGAGTAAGCTAAAAATCTTCAACATTTTTTGGATGAACTTGAGGAAAAAAGGTCTTGACCTGCTGCATGTAGGGGGAGGGAAGCAGGGAGAGAGGATTAGTGTCTGCTGAAGAAGGAAACAAAGCAGTCATTTTGCTTTGCAAACATCATCTTGTGGCTGACTCATAAGTCTGACTTGTCTGGGAATAAAATTCAGCTATTTACACTCCAGCTTAACTGCATTTCCTTGTAGTGAACCTTGTAGATGCTAACTCTGCCTTTTTTTGGGTTAAATTTTTCTAGGAATTCGTTGTAGTCTGTCTTTTGAAATTACTGCTGCTGAAGTCCTTCCCTGCCAGTGTAGTAACCAACTTCCTCGGTTCCTGACTGCGTTGTCTGGGGGGGGAATCTGTTTGTTTAGAGGTTTTTAATTATTTTTTGGTTTGTTTTTTTCTTCTGTTGTTTTGTTTGGGTTTTGCTTTTTTGTTTTGGGTTGGGTTGTTTTCAGAGTTGTGTTTTTTACATGGAGTGGCAGTTTGTTCTTCCCAGGTCACAGTGGGTAAAAAGGCCCGTTTTTCAAAGCTCTGCATAAATGTTGACAAGGGTTTGGTGATTGCCAGGCTGTGATTTTTAAATGCTGTCAATTTAGTTCCTGTTAACAGCAGAACATTAACGACTTGTAACAATCCCCCAGGTTGACGGATATGATCCAGAGCACTTACTCCTGTGGAGGAGGGGGAAGGTGGGGCTTGTTTGCAAGCTGCTCGGAGGGCAGTGACTTCCACATGTCACACTTATCCCAGAGAGCTTCAGGTGTAACTTCAGGCACAGGAGGAGTTTGCTGGCTTGTAGAATAGATGAGTTTGCTGAGAGGTGCTGTTTCTGACTGCTTCTCTATTGGTTTCCTGCCACACAAAGCCCTGGTATTGCCACAGCTTCTGGCAGTTGCATGTTCCAGGTATTGCTTCCAGGCCAGGAAACGCACAGAAGGCTGTAGGGCAGTTTAATAATAGCTCTCTGTGGACTTTCAGCCTTTGGCATCTTTGAGCTTATCAAAGAAGTGACTGCATCAAATCAGAGTATTTGTGGTTGGTCGCTGTGGGGCTTTTTGGTCCCTTGGGTGGGTTTTTATTTGTCTGGGTGAGTGGGCAATGCTTCCAGCAATTCGGGAAACCTGCTCTCAGGCTGCAAAGCAGATTTGCGTTCCCAGCTGGAATGGAGCTGAGTGAGTCATGGCTGCCTTACCCAGCCTGTGCTCTGAGGAGCCTTTCAGTCCCCAGGCTTTCTCCTCCCGTGCTGCTTGTTCTTCAGCTCGGTTCTGGAAGCTGGTGCTGTTTTTTTATTTTTTTAAATTTTTTTTTCAAGTTTTCTTCTAGTATAAATGATCAGAGTAAACCAGTTGATGCACTCGTTTTTCTCTAAAGATCATCTACCTTTTGCATTTGGAGAACATCAGTGTCTTCAAGGAGTAGTTTTTAGTTTGGTACATGAAGATTTTTGTGGAAGGTTTTTTGGTGTTTTTGGAGGGAGGGTTGGGTTTTGGCGTTTTCCAAGAAAATGAGTTTCTAGAACTTACTCAAACTGAATAGTGTTAGGATTATATGAAGTGTAAGTATTTGCAAGTCTTATATGATCTGTGGCAAAACACTGTTTCTGTTGTGTTAATTCTTCTCTGAAATGAGTACTGACTTTTAACCAAATCTTTACTGTACCTAAACATTTAAAGAGATTCTCTGTGCTCTTTGCTAGTCTTAAGCAAAATAGTTTCTCTTCCCTAATTGCAAGTTAAGTGTTCATGTGGAATCTGTTCAGGAGACAGACTTTCTGCATTTTGGTACTTTGGAAGTAGTTACTGAAGGGTTTTTTTATATTGTTTTTGAGCATTGTTCAGATGACTTCCACTGAAATTTCTGGGATTTTGTTCCTGTTAATGTCCAGATGTTTTAGGTACTGTTCAGGCCAGCCCTTCAGCACGAGAGGTGTGTAAGTAGAATGGAACTTGTTATAGAGGGTGAACTGATTATAACAGAGTTACAATTCTGGTAAGAGTTACAATTCTTAGGTTATGATTCCAATTTATTTTTTGAAACAAAACCAATTAATCTGAACTTTGAGTCCAATATTGTGACAAGTGTTGACTGAATAAGCTTTGTTAGCATGAAGGGGGCAAGCCCTGCTCTCACAGCTCGGTGCCTGGCGCTCTTGGATGCACTGCAAGAGGAAAATCCTGCTGAGAGATGCCTGCATGAGCAATTCCCTTTCTCCCTTCCCTGCCCCTGCGCTCTTGTGGTGCTGAGTGGGACTTCTGTCCTCTGCCTGTGCTTGCACAGCCTCCTAAAACAGGGACTGGGAAGTGGAAGGCACTGGTGTGAGTTGCAGTGGAGTCTACAAGGCAGCTGGCATCAATGACCAGCTCGTGAAGGGCAGTGTTTTGGTGAGGGACAGGGCCAGAGAGTCTTGCTTGGATGGTGATTTGGGAATTGTTGAGCTGGTGACTGGGTTTGCGTGGAGGAAAAGGTCAAGTGGATCATGTTTCAGAGAGGGAGTAGAGAGTGGGCATGTTCTGCATTCAGGGATGTGTCATGTGTTGCTGAAAGAGATGGTGAGGCTCTGAGGAAATCAATCATACAGTGTTGGTGGTACCTCAGTACTCAGAGCTCCTTACAGTTAAAAGATCTGTGATTCATGCTGTTCAGCAAGTTATTTCAGCTCTGCAAAGCAAGCTCTTATTTAAAATTTCAATTAGAGCACTAATATCATATGACTTTTGAGAGGAAGAGGCAGTTTTCAGCCTACCTTATCTGACAATCCAGAGCTGTTGACCCACAGCATACAGGTAGAGCAACTGTCTAGGCAATAATTGTTAGGAATAGGAAAAGCAAAGATACAAGGGACAGGTTGGCATGAGCAGATGAAGTCACCTGAGCAGCAGATTTATCTAAGCCAGTGTTGGGTTCTTGTGTCAAACCTTTTGGGGTAGTAAACATTTATTCAAGTGAAGTGTTATAATTTATCTTGGAGGAGGAGGGAGGACTCTTGTCATACCAGAAAAATGCAGACTATCTAGATGAAGCAGAAGACACTAAAGGAGTGAGCAAGCTTCCCAGCACTGCTTAACAGTGAGAATCCTTCTTATCTGAAGGTAGAATGGAATATATATTTTATTCTGGCGGTGCTTTATATAATGCATTAAAATTAAGTGAGGCTTTAACTCTTCCCTGGAATGCTGATTGAGAACAGGGTCTATTTGTTCTTATTTTGTGTAATTTTTTTTTTTTTTTGAAATATTTCCCAGGGCCAAATTTTAAGTAAATAAAACAGTAAAGAAGCAACTTAGGATGAAATAATTAGTTTTCTTTTGTATGTCCTACTTTGTGTTATCTGCATACTAGGATGAATGAAAATTTTGAAGTCAGCATGGATTTATTCTTTTGTTGTTGTTTTTAAATCAAGACTGGTCTTAGTTTTGCTCCTAGTCAGCTTTAATCCTGGGTTGTGTTTGTAGTTTTTAATGACTACACACTTCTTTAATCAAAGCTTCCCTTGAAGTAAAAATTGAAGTTTGCCTTCCTGCAAATTGTTTTTTGTCTTTGCTTGAAAGCCTTGATCAAAAACCTGTGCACTGTCAGTGTTGTTATGAAACTGTGAAATGTCTTTTACTGTCATCCCGTGTCCTGTGAAGGAAATGGAGCATTTCAAGCCCAACGGGAGGTTATGTAGTTCTGTGACAGTGTGGCACTGAGCAGGATCCTGCTGCTGTCTACCCAGCAAGTCAGTTATTCTGATACTAAAATTCTTATGTGATTTCCAACGTGATTTATGTTAAGTGTCTTGTTCATTTGTTTTATCTGGGTGACTCAGGCTCAGCGGGTCCTTTTTTATTGTTTTGTTTTATTTGTTTGGGTTTTTTCTGCTGTAAAACCTCACTTAAAAAAGTAATTAGGTATTCATTCTTTATTAAAGGTGTGTAAATTATGTCTTTGCTTGCCTGTGAAGTTTAACAGTAGCTATCCAGTGATGGAATTCTCTCAAATAATGTGCCAGAGAACTTTGTTGCAAGTAGTAATTTTAGTAGTAAATTCTACATTTTGTGTTGCTGCTGTAGGTGAACAAAAAGTCTTTATTATGGGGTGATTGTTTACACTTTGCATCTGTTGGTCTTAGTGCAGCAGCAGGATATACCAGTTTTACTGAGTGCTGTCAGGTATTGCTGCTGTTGATTTATCATAGTTTTTAAAAAGTTCTAAATGTTTATTTTTATTTTTTTTCCCCCTTGCCAGACCTTAATTTATTTTGGATTAGGATTCCCATGGCATGTGAACTAGAAGACAATTTGAAGTAGCAGGTCTCTTTTTATTTGTGAAGTGACAGTCCTTGATCAAGATGGTGGGGAAGCTGAAGCAGAACTTGCTGCTGGCGTGCCTGGTGATCAGCTCGGTGACCGTGTTCTACCTGGGCCAGCACGCCATGGAGTGCCACCACCGCATGGAGGAGCGCAGCCAGCCCCTCAGGGTGGAGAGCCTGAGGAGCACAGATAGAACTGCTTCCCATGGCAGCACCAACAAAACCTTTGCTTACAACAAAGACATGCCTTTAATATTTATTGGAGGAGTCCCTCGGAGCGGCACCACCCTGATGCGGGCCATGCTGGACGCCCACCCGGACATCAGGTGCGGGGAGGAGACGCGGGTCATCCCCCGGATCCTGGCAGTGAAGCAGATGTGGGCTAGATCAAGCAAGGAGAAGATCCGACTGGATGAAGCTGGAGTCACAGATGAGGTTTTGGACTCAGCCATGCAAGCATTTTTATTGGAAATAATTGTGAAACACGGAGAGCCTGCTCCCTATTTGTGTAACAAAGATCCTTTTGCTCTAAAATCCTTAACTTATCTTGCTAGAATTTTCCCCAATGCCAAATTCCTGCTAATGGTCCGGGATGGTCGTGCCTCTGTGCATTCCATGATCTCTAGGAAGGTCACAATAGCTGGGTTTGACCTTAACAGCTACAGGGACTGCCTGACCAAGTGGAATCGTGCCATAGAGACCATGTATAACCAGTGTATGGAGGTTGGCTTTGAAAGGTGCATGCTGGTACACTATGAACAACTGGTGCTGCACCCTGAAAGGTGGATGAGAACTCTCTTAAAGTTTCTTCACATCCCATGGAACCAAGCAGTGCTGCACCATGAAGAAATGATTGGAAAAGCAGGGGGGGTTTCCCTTTCAAAGTGAGTATGAGCATTCCTCCTTTACCCTGTGTTCGAAGAGGTGAAATAGCATGTTCTGCATAGAAAAGACTAGGCATGATGTGGTTTCAGTTTTTCAGGAGCTAAAGAGGGCTTGGGAAGCTGATTTGTGATGCAGGTTGTCTGGAAAGTAGTAATTATTGTTAACTAACTATTCCCAATCTCAGATTTGCTCCTTTAAACTAATTGTCCCACTAATGTGTATGAAACACGTGAACAAACTTCAATTAATGATGAGTCTAACTTGAATGTCTAGTATCAGCCTTCCTTTCAATACAGCTTTGCTTTTCCCTGTGTCCCAAAATAAAGCTCAACTATTTTATCTGGACTGGTGTTACTCATCGTAGCAAGATCACTCATTTGGCTTCAGGAACTTAAGTATTGTTGTCAGTGCAAGAATGGCCTTCGAGTTGTATTTGCCAAGAACATACTCTTCCAGGAAACTTGAGAAACTGCTCCAACAAAATAGAAAGCAGAATTGGCATGTGCTTCTGAAAGGACAAGCACTTGGAATAAAATTAACCTTGTTGTAAGCAAATCTCTCAGTATTCTGTCATGCCATCCATGCACCTGACAGTTACTTTCAGAAACCGAAATCCAGCTCTGCCTAGAAAACCTAGTGAGGTATTGTAAAAAAAACCAAAACAACAAAACCCCCTAGTTAATTCTTGAGTTAAACTGCTGTGTTTGGTTTCTTGGCCATTATTTACAGCTGAGTTTCTGAGATGCAGAAGCTGGCTAGTCTACATGGGGGAAAGGTTTGAATATTTAAATCTATTTTCTTCCTTTTTTCTCTGACAGATGAATCTATCAGATTGTCTTGTTTCAGTTTCTGAAATACTGACTGAAAAGCCCTGTTCAGCAGTAAGGCATGCCCAGGTCACTTCCTTGGTTTCTGAACATTCATCACTGGCCAAGTGCTTCTGAGTAACAGAGGCACCTTGCACAGTAAGCAGTGTGAGCAGAGACATGTCAAACTGTTGAATTCAGAGTGGTGTAATCTTTTTAATTTATTTTTTTAAGACTACAGTTTTGAGGAATAAAAATGGGAGGTTTTGTTTCTTTAATGGCTGGGGAAGTGACTGGATTTTCTAATACATTGTAGGGTGTAAAACAAATCACAGCATTACTAGTCAGCAGTTGCAAAGAATTTAAAACTTAGGTAATGGTTATAAATTCAGTCTGGAAGCTTCACATTCCCACTGGAGGAACCCAGCCACCCTCTGAGTGTTTGCAGAGCTCTGAAGGAGGTAGCTCATCTTTTTTCCATGGAATTGTTTGCTAGCAGACTGGAGCCTTCTTGTGAACCTGCAGCAGTGGCTGTTGTTGGGCTCTGCAGGCAGGGTCTGTGTGGGAACTGCTCTTCTGTTCCCTGGATCATCTGACTGCTTCACAGGGGCAGCTGAGGGAGGAGTGATCACTTGTACTGATATAAATAGGTGGTTGCCAAGCTCTGTTAAGTGTCCTGTAAAAATAACCATGCCAGTTTAGTGTTTTTAAAAATTAATGGACTGTAAATACTATAAAACTCAGTAGCCTTACTGATTTCATACACTTTCAAGTAATATTTCTTGCAAGATCTGCTGGCATGGGATGTGAGGAGTTGAGAATACATGTCCATGTCTCTAAAAACAAAGAAAATGGATTGCTAAAAGTAAGATAGGGCTTTATGATTATTTTTTAACAAAACTTTAAAATTTAAGACAAATGAGTATGGCAGTATTCTTGTGACCTTCAATTATTTATGCTTTTATTATCTCTTATGAGATATGTGAAAGTTAATTATTTCAGAAGACATGGGTAACAGTAGAAGAAGAGTGGGTTATTAGTGTTATGTCTGTAGTGGTTATCTCATCAAATACCCTTGAAATGTATGGGAGTTTTTTCAGTTGCAAGAGACCTTTATAATTTGATAATTATTTCAGTGACTCAGTCTTTCAAGGGCTGCAGAGAAAAACAGTGAATATGAAATTCTCGGTGTTGGGTGTCTGTTTTGTATATTTATATGATACTAATTGAAGTTGTGCAGGGGGAACTTGACATTCTCTAGTTTTGTTTCATGATACCCGTTAAAAACCTCCTGCTCTTGGCAACCCCAGCTCCTCGCTGCCCTCTGGTGTCCAGCAGAGCTGGGGACAGGGACACTGCCTGCCAGGGGGGTCCTTGTCCAGAGCAGGGGTAACTGCCCAGAGAACTTAATCTTTTAAAAGATGCTTGCTAGGTAGTTCAGTGAGAACTTTAGTCTGCAGCAGGCAGCTTATTGAATTTTGACAGCTGGACACCTTGCTTTAGACTTAGTTTTCCTTCTATCAAGTTGCATTTGGTTTGTTTTCAGCTGCAGCAAAATTCTTTATGGCCTAGACTGTGCGTGGCTGTTAAATTCTGGGTCAGGTTCTAAGCAGTGTTGTTCTCTTCTAACTTCGAATTTCTCTCCAGGCTTACAGGAGAGTGCTCTTTACTTCACTGAGTGAATAGTGTCTGCTTTCAGCTGGAGCAACAGAGTCTGGAGCAGTGGAGCTCCATGTTCTGATCAGCATCTTTACCCGACTGTCCAAAGAGACAGTGGTGATCACTTCAGAGGTCATCTAAAGGAATTCAGAACACTGCTGTTTATTACAGCTCTGTCTCCTCATAGAGGTTTTATTACCATATGCCTGGTACAGAGTGCGTCAGGCTGCTCACAATGTTACATTCAAATCAGAACACTCAAATCATATTACAGATTTTACTGTCAGGAGGAGGGTATCACAAGGAGTAAATCTGTAGCAAACTGTGATGTTCTTTCAAAAAATACCAAAGGCTTAGTCTCTGTAGCATAGAAGGGGGACTATGAAGATCTAGTTTAAAATAGTTCCCTGCAGAGTATTAGGTAGTGCAGAAAACCTCTGAAGTCACAGAGTGAACCAATGTTGTTTTCTGCAAAGGCTGTGATACTGTGTAAGGACTTAAGAAAATGAGCAGAGAAACCTGCCTCAATCATCTTCCACTCATCTTTAAGACTTTCAGACAGGCTCCACTTCAGAGGCCTGATGCCTGCTCGAGTCAGGTCCCACAGAAGATGTCTGGGTGTGTTTGAACTGTTGGAGGGTTTTTTGAAAGAAATCTGGCAAATCCATTGTCTTGAAATACTTAAAAGCATTTTGAGAGAGATCACAGTATTCCTAAAAGATCTTCATAATGCTGTTATTACCTGGTATCAGAAAGTGAGTGTTTAAGAAGAAATTTTTAACTCATCTGAAATAAAAATTAACTACATCAAATGAAATCTGTATCAGATGAATGAAGCTCTAGGTCAGTGTAAGATGTGTTTTCAGTTTTACAGGGAGTTGAATTGAGCATTCAGGCTGTTTCTCTTCCAGAACTGAGCCAGTTACCCAGTGGTGTGCAGAACTCTTCAGTCAGTGAGCTGGCTTCATTTTTCTCTTAGTCCAAACTTAAACCCTTACGCAACAGCCTGTTGATAGCAATGTTAGATTAGAATAGAAACAGAAAGACAGACAGAATAGATAGACAGTTTGCAGTGTGAGGAAACTGTTGGCTGCCTTACTCTCCTCTTGCATTTGCTCAGTAATCCCAGCTTTTTCTGTTGCTGATGCAGCCCTAGCCTCACTATTCTATTTTACTTAGTATTTTTACCCCTTATTTTGGTTTTTATCCAGCTGCAAGGAAAAACACTGCAAGGAGAAACACTGCAAGGATGTGCACCACAGACTTTGTAGTAGTGGGAAACCTTCTGTGGTTTGAAGTAACTGCCAGCGTGGCTGTTGGAAGAATGTGTTATGGCTGGACTACATGTTATAACTAGGATTGTTAATACAGCTCTGGCATCTGCCTCCTAACTGAAACCAGCTGTGGTGACCACTGATGCAAAGAAATTTCAACCCTTTTATAGCAATTTTTATTAGGCTTATTATGAAAAGAGCTGTCCAAGCAAAATTACTTCAGAATATACTATTTTTAATACATACCTTCGATCTGATTCCTGTACAGATGGAGGAGTGTTTGGGGTTAGTCCTGTGCTACCCGCTGCTTTCAGAGCTGAAACCCTTCCTGTGGTTTTGCAGTGGAGCCTGGAAGCCCTGACCAGGCAATATTTGCATAATCAGATTTACCAAGACTTGGTATCTTTCCTGGTTTTGCTGTTTGGCTTTTTGGGTGTGTTTTGCCCTCCCAGCCCCTTTTTTCCCCCATATGCCTCTGCTGTCTTCTGAAGTCTTTCCTATGAATTGTGTTTTATTCCCCCCATATGCCTCTGCTGTCTTCTGCTCTGAAGTCTTTCCTATGAATTGTGTTTTATTTTTCTTCCCACCTTACCAGAAAGGACAGAAAAAGATTCACACAGAAGATCAAATGTTCTATAGTGTGTTTTTGACTCAGGGCCTAGGAACAGCTAAATGTAGCTCCTTGCTTCTTGCCAGGTATTAATCAC